CTCCGCGAGTGCCACTGGGCAATGGGCCGCCGGGGGTTGGCCAGCATGTCGGACCAGTGCCGCAGCTCCGTGCCTGTGGAGTTGCAGCCCGTGAAGATCTTGCCGATGGCCTCGTTCTTCCCCAGCTTGTCGTAGTCCAGCACCGTGATGACCACCTGCACTTTCTGAAGGAGGAAACCTTCTTTAGAGGAGCAGGAAAGCACCAGGGGGGCAGCCCAAGGAGCCCTCAGGGCTGAGCCCCGCTGTGGCCCCCTCCATGCCTGAAGCTTCTTCCTCTTCCTTCCCAAGGCGCCCAGGGCTGCAGAGCCACCACGGGCACCCAGCTCGCCCTGATGCGGCCCCCAAGGGGTGATGTGGGGCTGGGCCGGGGCAAGTGGCAGGTGCAGGAGGGACACGGAGGGGAAGAAGGCACCTACCAACGGTCCAAACTGCCCCTAGGAGCACTGCAGGGTCCCTGCTGTGCCTGGGGGGAGCACTACAGGACCAGGAGCAGAGGAAAGCCCCTCTCCAGCCATTACCTGAGTTGGGACTGCACCTCCCATGGTGGGTGCTGCCCAGGCTCCCACCTCTGCCCCTGAAGCAGATGTCCTCAGCATCAGCCCAGGCCCAGGTTGGGATTGGACATTATATAGTGGGTGACTGGACCAGGAGCTTGGCAGGAGCTGGGAAGGCTGCTGGGAAGGCTGGGACATGGGCTGGGACATGGGCTTGGGCAGCTGTGGGACTTCTCCCATCGCCCTCACCCCACCTCCCTCCCAGGGAAGTCATCAGACAAACCTGTATCTGCTCAAAGGGGATCTCGAAGCTGAAGGACTCATTGAAGTAGGGGTTCAGGGTCTTCTTCTTGACTGTGGTCTTCTTCTTCTTCAACCTCTTGCCATTCTGCAGCAGGTGGATCTTCACGTAGGGATCTGGGGGGGCAGGAGGGTGCATCAGCCAGGGCTGAGATGCCCAGGGGACACCATCAGCCTGGTCCCAGGACAATCTGAAGGGGGCCTCCAAGGATGCTGGAGAGGGACTCTTCATCAGGGACTGGAGTCATAGGACAAGGGGTGATGGGTTCAAACTGAAACAGGGGAAGTTCAGGTTGGATACAAGGCAGAAGCTCTTCCTCGTGAGGCGGCTGAGGCGCTGGCACAGGGTGCCCAGAGAAGCTGTGGCTGCCCCATCCCTGGCAGTGTTCAAGGCCAGGTTGGACACAGGGGCTTGGAGCAACCTGCTCTAGTGGAAGGTGTCCCTGCCCGTGGCAGGGGTTGGAGCTGGAAGACCTTTGAGGTCCCTTCCAACCCAAACCATTCCATGATTCTATGATGCTGTGATGAGATGCCCCACACGGTAAAGAGACATATTTAAGGAATAAAGGTGCTCTGATGGATGGAGCTCTTCTGCATCCTGTGGGTCCTCTTGTAGGAGGAATGGAGACAGTGGAGTGACACCGATGGGTGCTGTCATCCCCATTTCTGGAGCAGGACACCCCAGCAATAAAGCTGAACCCTTCCACCCATGCAGGTGCTGCTCTTCTGGTTAATAAAACATGCTGCCAACTGTGTCCTTGGCCCCAAGTCAAGGAGGAGCAGGACCAGGAGCAGATGGCGGAGAAGCATTTTCACCGCCCAGGTCCTGCAGCATCCTGGACCCTGGATACAGTCGGGAACCAAATCTGGTTCTTCCAAAGGATTGCAGGGCCCATCCCATCCCATCTCCCCTTGCACCACAGGCAGACCTGGGGCTGCCTCAAATACAGGAGGTCCCAGGCACTGGTGGTGGCTTCCCCAAGCCCTTGCCAGACTGATGGCCCCATTGTCCTTCCCCACAGCGAGGTGGAGGAGAACCCACCTGAGAGACCCCCGACATCCATCTTCTTGAGGTTCTTGGCCTCCAGGATGCAGACAGTGAGCTTCCCGGCCGTGGGCACGTACCGGAGGGAGATGCAGATATCTCCCAGCTTCTCTGGCTGCAGAGCAGAGCAGGGAGCAGGTATCAAAGCCTTGCCAGTGCTGGGACACGGTCCCACATGCAGGTCCCCCCACATCCTGCTTAACCTTCACTGCAAGCCTGAGCTGGCTTCCCGTGCACCAGCACAAGGGTTTGACCACTTGGGTCTGGGTCATGCCAGGCCCAACGCAGCACTTGAGGTTCATACTCTCCAGTTTGTTATAGAAAGGCTTTTGCACAGAGGAACAAGGGGACAGATCCTGCCCAGCACTCATGGCCAGGACGCGCGTCCTGAGCAGTGTTGGGTGGACCAGAAAGCAGAGCTCGCCCCGTGGCCACCCCACATCTCAAGCCACCCTGGCCAAGTGGCTGAGGTCCCGCTCTCACCTCCTCCTTCTCACCGCTCTGCAGGTCCCGCCACTCCTCGATGGGCTGACCCAGGTCCACCGTGTTCATGGGCACCTTCACCTCGCCAATGATGTCATGCTTGGAGAAGCGATCGAAGTCGTAGATGGCCATCACCAGCGTCTTCCCACCCAGTTCCTGGTAGGGCACCTGCACAGGGAGCTCCACTGAGTGGGCTGGCAATGGGCTCAGAGCTCCCAGCAGTGCGGCTCGACGCACGGGACCAGCACGCAGCCAGGGGGAAAGATGAGAGTGGGAGACAAGGTCCCGTGTTGCAGGTAGGCAGGGTGGGTAGGAAGAGCCTCACCTTGAAGGTGAAGGTCTCATTGAAGGCAGGGTTGAGTGTCTTCTTCTGCACTTTGGTCTCGTACTTTTTCTTCTTGTCAGGGAGCAGGAACACCTTCACATAGGGGTCCGAGGTGCCGCCCATGTCCAGAGCCGGCAGCTCGGCGGCTTGGAGGATGCCCACCGTGAGCTGGAGGTGGAACAGGGATGTCTCCATCCAGGCAGCTGCGATGCCAAGGGCTCAGCCCCAGCCCAACCCGGGACTGGGCTCCCCAGGGCTCAGCACCCAGCTCCCCGCTCCCTCCTTTGCCACCCAGGCTTCTCCTCCTCAGGAGCCTCCCTGGGCAAACCCCACTCGAGCCCCATCACCTGGTTCGCCTGGAAGTCGTAGTCCAGCGAGAACTGGAGCTTGCCCAGGTTCTCCGGCTCCTTCTCCTCCTCCTCCCCTTCCCCCTCCGTCAGACCCGTCTCTGCATCATCATCGTCCTGTTGC